TCACAGGATGGCCCCCCATGTCCTCACAAGATGGCTGGCAGGGGAGGGCAGTTGGGGGCAACCAGATCGTCAGGGGAGGGCAGTTGGGAGGGACTGGGCCTGCAGGGGCGGGGGGGCAGTTAGGGGTGAACAAGTCAGCAGTGGAGGGCAGTTGGGGGTGATCAGGCCAGCAGGGGAGCAGTTAGGTGTCAATCAGGCCAGCAGGGGAGCGGTTAGGGGGCCATCAGGCTGGCAGACAAAAGTGGTTAGAGGCAATCAGGCAGGCAGGCAGGAAGTGGTTAGGAGCCAGCAGTCCCAGATTGTGAGACGGTGCAGGCTTGGCTGAGGGACAACCCCCTACCTCCTCTATCCCACCGGCCCCGTGCACAAATTTTATGCACTGGGCCTCTAATATATATATACTCTCCTCCCCACCCCACATTGACCCCTCTACCTAGCCCTGCCCCCCATACCTGGCCTTCACTGACTACTGTCAGTGTTCATGGGTTATGCATATATCTGTCTCCCTCAGTACATTGACATAAGCTATTTGTCCTATGGTTAGGGAGGTAAAATGCAAATCATTTACTCTTAAGTGTCCTTGGTTTAGGGACGATAGGATATACTAGATAACTCCAAATTGTTGTTTAACCACCTCAGTTTCCTATTCTATTCATCCAATTAGTTAGAATTAACATTCCTCAGATTAGCAATATATTCAGATTTAAAAAAATAATACAATACTTATTCATTATCAGATTCCAATCCATCCTCTAGATCAGCGGTTCTCAACCTGTGTGTCGCGACTGCTTTGGGGGTCAAACAATCCTTTCACAGGGGTCACCTAAGACCATTGGAAAACACATATATAATTACATATTGTTTTTGTGATTAATCACTATGCTTTAATTATTTTCAATTTGTAACAATGAAATTGGGGGTCACCACAATATGAGGAACTTTATTAAGGGAGGTTGAGAACCACTGTTCTAGATTCTCCACATGAGGCATACTGAGATTTATATTTCAGTATTCCATTATTTAAAAATACTTTGATACTCAATATTTTTTTACCATTTAACTCAGCAAGCTCAAAATATTAAGTTACACGTCCCTGGGACCTGGGATTCAACCTTGGATCTGGGAGTCAAACTTGGAATGTGGTCCATTCTCACTCAAGAACCATCCATTATCATGGAGACATTAACCTTGCTGCCCAAACAATGGAGTCCCACCCCAGCCCATGTTGCTGACTTCCCCTGCCTGTGATCCCTACTCTCCTGTGTCATCTTTGTCCCCAGCAAACTAAGTCCCCAAAAGATAGAAGTCAGTAACCAAAATTACATTACAGACACAGACAAAAACTTCTCACTAGCTAAGAGTTTCTGGCGGCTGCCACCCTGGGAGGGAAAGCAGGAAGCTCCCCAAGATGAAGAATTCTCAGCAGCTGCTGAGATGATCCTGCAGTCTCTGCCAGGTGGTCAGCCTCGCCAGAGTAGCTGGGATCCCCAGACCCGGACGTGCCCCATCTTTAGACAAATTAAACCAAACAACAAAGAGACACAAAACATCAACAGAAACACTCATATGAGCGGGCATGACCCACAGACACAGAAGGTCCTGCATTAAGAAAACCACTGAGCAGAGCAATGTCTCCTGTTGCTGGATCAAGGACTGCCCTTCCCAGAACCTCAGCATCTCCCAGTGGGCTATTTGGGGAGAGCATTCCCTGGCCGAGAATTTCTGGTTCCATCCTCGGCAGGTCCTTTGTGTCTATGTGCTCAACCTCCGTATTGGGGATTTATTGCACAACCCAAGATCCCTTGTGACTATGTGCTCAGTCCCCCATATTGGCGATGTCTCGCACTCCCTGAGATCCACTTCGTCCTTCTCTGGCCGCTTCCCTTGCAGGAGAACAGAACCACAGATCAGAACTCCACACTCGCCTTCTGTCCAAGACACATCCCAGTCACAGGTACCCGACCTCCGAGGACACCCCATCACCAAACTAGTACTCAGTCCACTGCCCACCTTGGCTCCCGTGTGAGGTCACCTGGTGCTGCACCTCTTGCCTGGGCTCTTCATGCGTTGCTGGCTGACTCTCGATCCGGAGCTGGGAGTTAGCCCTGGGTAGTTGCCTCCTCACCCACTGCCCTTCCTTGGTTCTGGAAGCCTTCTGGGGGTGGGGAGGTATGGGTGGTGGTGGGGGGAAAGGTCTCAGCACTGGGAACCCACCCTTGTTTGTCAAAGTGCTTTGGGGGGCGGGGAGGGGTGTGTGGACTCAGCCACTTGCCTGCTTCCTCCTCTGCACCCAGTGAGCAGCTCCTGCCCAGGAAGCCCAGCGCCTGGCGCCCTGGAGGCGGCTTTCATGTCCAAGACCTGCGAACTGGGTGGACACTCTTTCGTTCCTCTCCAGTTCACTGTAGGGATGTGTCCTTTAGGGCCTTGTCAGGGGACGAAGGCCACAGCTTGGCCAGAAGCCTGCGCTGCCTCATTGGTCCTCTTGCTGACCCTGCAGGTCCTTCTGGTGGAGGATAGAGTTGAGCTTCTTGGGGGCAGCGATCTGGAGGGAGGGGGAGGCCCCGGGTCCTACAGGAGCAGCCATCCTGGCGCAGGCCCCGCCTCCACCGCGCCCTGCATGACTCTGGTCCCCAGGGTCAGAGCTCCTTGGAGGGTGCAGGCTGCATCTCATGGCCACGGGCTCAGCATCTCCCCCTCTGCCTGGTATTTTCCTTGGTGCCAGCCCTGCCTGCAGGGGGAGGTGCTGGTGAGGCAGAGCTAGGGGGGCGACCAGTAGGGCTCTGGGCTCTCCCAGGGGTTGATGTCACTGCAGGATCCTTCCCAGGACATGAGGGAGGAGGGCCTGCCCCAGGCTTCCTAAGGGACTGGGAGGCAATGCCCCTCCCCTTCCTGTTCTCCTGACAGAAAGTTCCAGGTCATTTCCACATTCAAAGTCCGCAAAGCAGGCAGGTTCTTCATTCTCTGCAAGCTGGTGTCCCTGGTGCTCAGACCCACTATGGAGGACCTCCACCTGGCTCCCCCATGGCCACAGGAGACAGGCTCTGGGCGGAGCTGGGTGCCGAGGCCACAGGGACCAGCTAGGGCATCTGCACGCGGGTCAGGCTCTGTGGGGGGGAGGTGCTGCGTGGGGGTCTCCTCACTGCCAGCACCTGGAGCTCACGCCCCTCTCACCCCACAGCTGGCTGGGCTCCTGACCACAGGTCTGCAAAGCCCTGGATGGTAGGCGGGGCCTGGACGCTGGTCTCTGTCTCCTCGAAGTGGGGGTCACAGTTAACTGTGCTCATGGCAATGAGGGGCCATCACAGTCCCCTCCGTCCCCTCACGGGAGGGAGGCCATCCTGTCCTCTTGGGGCTCAGAGGCCCCCGTCCCTGCTTTTCTTCCCAAGGCCTCTGTGACTCCACAATTGCTGTCTTTCTTCTTTTTAATTATATTGATTTTTTGTTTATGTTGTTATGTAGAGAGCCACAGGCATTTCTTTAGTCCTCACCCAAGGCTATGTTTATGGACTTCAGAGGGAGAAGAAGGGAGAGAGAGGAACATTGATCAGTTGCCTCCCGCATGGGACCCACCAGGGATGGAACCTGCACTGGGATGTGCCCTCACAGGGAAGGGAACTGCCTCCTTGTTGGACATGGGATGAGGCTCCAGTCAAAGGGGCCGCTCACTGGGGTGTTGTCTGCCTGTTTGAGTTGAGAGGCCTCAGGAGGGAGGAAGCTGGTGGTGCTTGTTGCTTCATCTCTGTCCTCACTGCCCCTGCGCGTGGGCCTGTTGCTGCTCCTTCCCCGGGCTCTCCTGACCGTCCCCTCTTTTGATGACCTGGGGCTCATAGAATCAGTTCTGCCTCAAAATATTTTCCATGACACCTCCCTGCCTGGGTTCCTCATCATCCTCCACACAACCTGCAGCCGCTCAGCCAGTCCGAGTGTCCAGCCGCTCAGCCAGCCAGAGTGTCCAGCCCTCAGCCAGCTCCCAGTGCCCAGCCCTCAGCCAGCTCCCAGTGTCCAGGCCTCAGCCAGCTCCCAGTGCCCAGCCCTCAGCCAGCTCCCAGTGTCCAGCCCTCAGCCAGCTCCCAGTGCCCAGCCCTCAGGCAGCTCCAGTGTCCAGCCCTCAGCCAGCTCCCAGTGTCCAGGCCTCAGCCAGCTCCCAGTGTCCAGGCCTCAGCCAGCTCCCAGTGTCCAGCCCTCAGCCAGCTCCCAGTGTCCAGCCCTCAGCCAGCTCCCAGTGCCCAGCCCATAGCCAGCTCCCAGTGTCCAGCCCTCAGCCAGCTCCCAGTGCCCAGCCCTCAGCCAGCTCCCAGTGCCCAGCCCTCAGCCAGCTCCCAGTGCCCAGCCCTCAGCCAGCTCCCAGTGTCCAGGCCTCAGCCAGCTCCCAGTGTCCAGGCCTCAGCCAGCTCCCAGTGTCCAGCCCTCACCCAGCTCCCAGTGCCCAGCCCTCACGCAGATCCCAGTGCCCAGCCCATAGCCAGCTCCCAGTGTCCAGGCCGCAGGGCTGTAGCTTTTCTGAGTTCCTGCACCTTTAGCCAGGCATTTCCCTGGCCCTGCCACCCAGGTCTCTGTTCCCCTTAAACCTTCCCTGTCCGGAGGCAAATGGGGAAGGAGGGGCCCTCCAGTGGTGCTGGCCATTCACTCTTTTTTTAAAAAAGTATAATCGGGGCAGCTATTTTATTTTTTAGTTAATTAATGTTTAATTATAATTGACAAACAGTATTATGTTAGTTTCTGGTGTATGACGTAGTGATTGAACACATATACCTTACAGAGTGGTCACCACAAGAAGTGGATCCGTCACCGCACATGGTCATTAGAGTTACTGACCATCTCCCCAACGCCGCATGTCACACCCCATGACTCGCTGTATAGCTGGCAGCCTGTGGTCAGTCCCTTCCCCTTCCCATCCCTCCCTACCTCTCCCTCGAGGCAACCGTGCATTTATTCTCTGTATCTATGTGTTTGTTTCTGTTTTGCCGGGGGTCTTATTCCAGCATCTAGAAGGGTTCAGGAATCTGGAGAAGGGCTGTGTGTAACTTAATAGAGAGGCCAGAGACGAAATATAATTTTGAAAGGCATGTTGGGGAGTCAGAGAAGACTTAGCTAAGGGAACTAAGTTCTCCTTGTCTCAGGACCCCTTACTCTTTATTTACACAATTTGTCCTGAGGCCAGGTAGATATACACATCAAAGGGTAGGGTTTCCTGTACACAATCCCTTGTCAGATTGGGGAAAATTGCCTTCTGCTGTTCAGGTGTTTGGCCAGTAGGAGGCAATAACATGCAGATTAAGATGCCCTTAGCTGTCTGGCAGCCACAATCATCCTTCTCAGGTTTGGGGAAATGCCCTCAGCCATCTCCAGATGATTCAGTTCTGCTGACATGCTGGCATTGGCTTCCGGCACTGTTTCACTTTGTTTTGTGTTTTAGATTTTCCATGTAAGTGAAATCATATGGTATTTGTCTTTCTTTGTCCGATTTATGTCAAGAAACATAATATTTTACATCCATGCTGCCTCAAATGGCAAGATTTAATTTTAAAAAAATGTATTTTTTATTGATTTCAGAGAGGAAGGGAGAGGGAAAGAGAGATAGAAACATCAATGATGAGAGAGGATCATTGCTTGGCTGCCTCCTGACAAATCCCCTGGAGATGTAGCCCACAACCCGGGCATGTGCCTTTGACCAGTATTGAAGCTGGGCCCCTTCATTTGTAGGCCGATGCTCTATCTACTGAGCCAAACCAGCCAGGGCAGGTTTTAATTTTTTCATGTCTGAGTAATATTCCATCGTATGTATGCACCACACCTTCTTCATCCATTCGTCTATTGATAGGCACCTAGGTTGACTGGCTTTCTTGGCTATCCTATCTAATGAAAGGCTAATATGCAAATTAACCATCACTCTGTCAAAAAGATGGCAGCACCCAGTCCTCTCAGCTCCGCCGGAGTCCCCCAGTCCTGGGGGGCGGCTGCTGAGAGCGGGCAGTGAGTGGCCTGGCGGAATGCTGCCCAGAGGCCCTCCTGACCCTTTATAAAAAAACAAAAAATCAAATTCCTTTGGAGGAGGAGGTATCTCATGTACAGAGGCCCTTAGTTCATGGAGCCTCCTTAATCCGCATAAGATCCTCCAACTTTGTTCTTCCTTTTCAGTATTGTTTTGGCTATTCTGGTCTCTTGCAATTTCTTAGAAATTTTCAAAAATCGGTTTAATTAATTCCTACAATTCCACAAAGGAAAGCTTAGTGTTGGGGACTGTTAAGGTACAGGTGCCTGAGGACCTCAGGCGGGACCCCCGAAGGAGCTGACCAGGGAGAGTCTGCCTAGCGACAACCCCCCCCCACCCCACCCTAACTCACCCCATGTTACCTGCGGGGGCACCCAGCACCACAGAACCGGAAGCAGCCACAGGAAGCTGCCGCCTCCAAGACAGCCATGCCTGTGACATGAACCAGCCCAGCCTGGTTCTGCCCCAGAAGCCGCAGCCACGTTTCTTTCTATAAAGATGACAACATGGTCCTAATGGGCAGTCCGAAGAACTGCCTCTGAGGGCTTATTTGACCAAAATCTTTCTGCCCCTTCAACACAGGGACTTACCCTAGCAGGACTGGGCAAGCCACTCCCACCACAGCCTCAGGGTCTCAGCCTCCAACCTTGCACCTGGCTCCCAATGGAGTGATCCCCCCACACACCTGCAGCCTCAGGGTCTCAGCCTATGGAAGCATCTTCGCCCCCACAGAGTGGTCCCCTCCCAGCAGCAGCCTCAGTTCTCAGCCTCTGAACCTTGCTCTTCCCAGCGAGTGATCCTGCCCCAGCAGCAGCCTCGGGGAGTCAGCCTCAGGACTTCCCTCGCCCCCAGCCGAGTGATGGGGGGGGGGGGACCAAGGCGGGTATCTGGGCGATGCTACTCAGCAAACCTCTCCCATTGGTCAGAAACTTGTGACCGGGTTAGGGAGGTCAATGGGTTTTGTTTAAAAACTTCAGAAACCACAAAGGAAATGTCTGAGGTCGGGTTTCACATGGGAAGTAACTTACAACTAATTTCTGAAGGCAAACTGCGACATTGCAGTTACATTACTAGAGAGCACCCTGCGGTCAGGAGGTCGGGCTCCGCAGTGACAGTGGCGGGCGCTCCCCGCCCTGGTTCCTCAGCACCTCGGGCCGGGCTTGAGCCCACCCGGGAAGGCCTTTCCCTACAGTTTTCACCAAGGCAGGCAGGGTTTGTAGACACGAATAAGAAGTGCCCACGCACACGTCCCGAAGATGCCGGGCCGGCAGGAATGACAACAAACGGGAAAAGAGCAAAACCAGAAACACCACCAATCCCAACATAGGTCATCTTTTTCTTCAGATGACAGCGTGTTTCCCTCTTCTTCGTCTTCTGGAAGTGAGACAGATTCAAGTACTGACGAGTCTACCAACAGAAAAGTTAAGATAAAGAGAGGAGAGAAAAGGGATAAAAGGAGAAAAGAAAGAAAGGACAAAAGATGAAACATCAAGAAAAAGAAAGAGAAGGAAAAAAGGAGGAAACAACCACATGAAATCACCTTTCCAAGG